ATATACTTTTTTCTCAGTAAAAAAAAAAAAAATATGAAAAAGATGGGCCATCACTCAGTATAGAGGTGGTGAGCTCAGTCCTCAGCACTGCTCCTCTCGGGAAAGTTTGGGGGAGTTGGCTTTGTTTGTTGCAGGGACAGGACAGAAGCCAGACCAGGAAGTGCTTTGGTCTGACAGATGCTGGTCCCTAGGTGCAACTCCATCAAGGGGAACGGGAGGCATGGGACGTACCAGGCCACTGCCACGTGCTTTCCAGGGACATTTTGCTAAGGAGTCACCCTGAAAGAATTCGGCAGGGCTTGCGCGGTGGCTGCGGGTGCCAGGAGCATCGCAGGGCATCATCTGGCAATACCCGGGCTCCACGCAACCCTTCCGCACCAAGCTTGTAGGACAGAAGCACAAGTGATTCGCCAGCTGGGCAGCACCTGAGTGACTCACTCATTTTGCTGCAACGTTTCCACTGTCACGGCATGACACCGGCTCTGCTACAGACGGGCTTTCGTTGTGGTTTGTCAGTAACACGATTCCATGGTACAGAGCAATCCTGGTGGACTGGCTCAAGGGCGTCCCCCCAGACCCTGAGACCCAGTTTCTGGCCAGATGTTCTTAGTAATGATTTGCTCTGGGAAGAATGAACAACTTTGGGGGCGTAGTGGTGCATGCCTGTGATCCCAGCTGCTTCAAGGTCAGGGGATTGCAAGTTTAAGGCCAGCCCAGGTTAGGCAGCGAGACTTTGCCTCAAATAACCCCAAAAAGGCTGAGCGACTCACGTGAGTGGTGGGAGGTTCACCAAGACAGAGAGACAGCAGGGAGGAGGCGCCAGGGTGCAGCAGCTCAAAGATGCGGCTCAGTGCTCGGGAAGCGTCCGTGCTTCTGCCTTACGACAGAATTTTACTCCTGGCCTGTAAGCCCGAGAAGAACGTGTGTGTCCACGCACAGAGACTGGAGCAGCAGGGTGATGGGTGAGCAGCTGGCCTCCTGCCTCAGCACCACGGCGCTCTGAAGGGTGCTGTGGTCCCGGCTCCCCAGGAAGCTGAGGCAGGAGCGTCACCGAGTGCAGGAGTTCAGGGCCAGCCTGCGCAGCACACAACACAGTAGAACGCCATCTGGGACAAGGAAATGAGAACGAAAGTACTGCTGGCTGTACCCGCTAATGTCCAGGGCCCCACCTGCTGCCACCTCCCTGGTGCTGCTCCCCTGCATGCCAGCATCCAGCTGGGGGCCAGGCAGCCTCCGAGCTGCAGCTGTCCTGCGTAGTCTGCCTGGCTCTTGCTGGAATGACCCTTCTCTCCACGTTGTCCATTTGTGGCCTCAGTTCTATACCTGTAGCTGTAGTTCCAGTGGGGTGGGAGCCCCCACACCATGGAGAACAGAGGCTCAGTGTCCACTAAAAAGGAGGGGGGCAGCCAGTGTGGCGGTCACACCTGTCATCCCAGCACTCAGGGAGGCTGAGGCAGGAGGATCACAAACTCAGGCCCAGCCTGCACCACTTAGTGGCTTGGAGAAATCTGTCACAAAATAAAAATGAAAAAGGGCCCTGGGTGTGCCTCAGCACATAGGTTCTGGGTTCAAACCCCTGCACAGGAAAACAAGAGGAAATGGAGACAGGACAGTTTCCTCCAGCCCTGCTCCAAACCCCCGAGAGCTAGGCAAGTGACCAGGAGTCCAAAAGCCC